AGTTCCTCAGGAAGGTGCACAATCATTTTGTGAAAAGGAAATATAATTTAAATATTGCAATGGCATAAGTGGCCATAGATATTCTTATCTAACAAAGGTCCAGAGGTTTAATTGTATTTATCTTCTAACTACTGAATGCAAGAGAATATATTTTTCGATCATCAGATATTTATTTAACGAGTCATGTTTGAATTTTTTGTGTCAAGTTCTTTAAAAAACAAAAACGAGAAGTAATGTTCTTTTACGCAAGGTTAGGATAAATGTACTTTGTTTTCTTTAATGTAATCATCTTCTTTAATCAATATTTGGCGTATTCGAAACCCTAATGGTTGATGTTTTACATGAGGTAATGGGTTGGTAAGATCTCAGATAGACAAGTGTTCACTTTCCTAATCTCCCATGAAAGATATTTCGCTCAGTGTACCTTGTATAATGTTCGATCTATCGTGCCAACTTCTTTTGTTTCTTCATGCTAGCCAGAATAAAAGTCTGTTTGTTTTACAGCAAACCCACATAAGGCTATCTGCTGTGTCCACAGCGGAGAATCGAACTCCAGATTTTAGCGTTGTGAGTTCACAGACTTACCACTGTCCCACCGGGAAACAATAAAGGTTATTTGAGATATAATTTCTAACATTTCTACATCTGTTTGGCTTTTCATTCCCTGTGGTGTAATCTTCGAAATGATGAACTCTCTGCTTCGTGATTTAAGGGGCAAATAAAAATATGATTGTTACCCTTCTAATACTTGTTCTCGACGTTTCCAAGATAATATTTTGTGGCTTCAACAGTATTAAGAGAATCCAACTGGATAACTCGCACTGATAGAAACAGCCGGGTTAATGAAATTAAACAGCAGCATCATACGTCATTGAAGAAGCGACTGGAAGAAACTTGAATATAAACCGTTAGGGACAATAGACAGCTGTATAAATATTGAAAACGAAAGAAATAACTATGGGTGAAACCTTACTAATGAAAGCCTATCGTTATTCTAAATGTTGATTATAAAACCTTACTAATCGGATAAGGTTTTATAATCAACACTTAGAACAGTGATAAGTCCTAATGGAAACCTATCACTGTTCTAAATGTTGATTATAAAACCTTACTAATGGAAATCTATCACTGTTCTAAGTGTTGTTTCCATTAGTAAGGTTTTATAATAAACACTTAGTTAGTAAGGTTTTATAATAAACATTTAGAACAGTGATAGGCCTTACTGGATTATAAAATTCTAAGTTGTAATTAGTAGGTTTTTCTAAGGTTATATCAGGACTTATAAATGTTTTCTAATCATGTATATTAGCCATCCTGGCTTTACTTAATGGCTTAGCTATGTTTACAACAACGCATAAAGCTGTGTATTAACTAACTTCCGATTTGTCGTTCGGACAGTTTGTTTGTTTGTTTTAAATTTCGCGCAAAGCTACACGCTATCTGCGCTAGCCATCCCTAATTTAGCAGTGTAAGACTAGAGGGAAAGCAGCTAATCATCACCACCCAAAGCAAACCCTTGGGCTACTCTTTTACCAACTCAAGTGGGATTAATCGTCACATTATAGCACTCTCACGGCTGAAAGGGCGGGCATGTTTGGTGGGACGGGGATTTGAACCCGCGACCTGCAGATTGCGAGTCGAGCGCCCTAACCACCTGGCTGGGCCTGTCGTTCGGACAGACAGGAATGTTGTTTGTCAATGCTCTTTTATATTTTGTCTCTTGAACCATTCTTTATTAAAATCAGAAAGGATGTAAAATAGAGGATCTTCAAGTCCCCCCTTGCAGTAACAATATCAAGTGCCTTGTTCGGGCAGATGATATTACAGGGTTTTATATAATATATATATATGTCGTTTCCTTTTACTCATGGATCTATTTATGTTGTTCTAAATCTGGTAAATTTTTTGTTTGAGATTTGGTGGGTTTCGTTATTACCCTGACATTTCTTACCCATTAAGGTGTATTTTGGGCAGTTTTAAATCTCTTCAATTGTGTTAGGATGAAAGAACTTGAAAGTTGAGAGCTGGTTGCCATTTTTCCGTTCATTGGGGCAATAGAAATATTTTAATTTATGGTTGCTCTGTAATTTTTAACATTTTAAGTTGTGTAATATTTTGGTATGTGGGAACTTTGGTTCCATATCCGCCACCCATCCTCACATACATAGCCGCTCAGGGTTTAAATTTTCTTTGGCGAGGTTAGCCTGAACCTAATAAATGTTCTCTCATGAATCAACCATTTTATACTACAGGTACCAACTAGTGTAATAAAATGCTTAAAATCAAAGCTTTGGTACTGCTACATGTAACACAAATTTTAAACAAACATCATGGTTTCCTTTTGCACGATATTAGTATCATTTACGTCGTGTAACTCAGGACTTTAAGTCAAATCAATATGTTAGGAATCCGTGTAATCGACCATTATATTATGCTTTTGTTCTAATAAAATATTGTTACACCAGCGGAAATGGTAACACGTCATGAGTATCTAGAAGGATCGGGTAACATCACGAATAATCCAGTATTTGCTAGACGCCCTCTATTCCTGTATATAAACGTGCCAGATAAAGCGAGACAATTAATCGGAATTGGAATCGCAGATAGAGAGATTGAAGATATAGACACGGATAGTTGAGTCAAGCGGGCGGTAGGCAACGTAAGTAAAGCGTGTTAATCGTTGTGAATTATAGCGTGTGTTTAAGTTAAAGTGACTGTGGAAATTAAGTATATTACAAAGTTTGTAACTAGAAAGAATAAACTAGTTTTATTTAAGAAAGGACTTGTATCGCTGAAGTTTCTCGGAAAGAATTTCTACAGAAAATTAACAAACAAATTAACAAACATATATAGTTTGTAACTGATTTTTCTAATATTGATATATTGCATGAATCTACTACGGATTTTCACCAACTACTGCTTTCTCATGAATTCGTACCTCCTATGTCGCTTCTGTCACACTTATGGAAATTTCTTTAAAAGATTACTTCCTATAATAAGGCAAAACAAATGTTTTGGAAACTGTTTCATGACATTTTACCGCCAGAGTTTTATTTACAGTGCCACTATTCTCGATGAAGCTCTATGTTGCGACTGACTTGATAAGGAAACATATATTTACTAATTTATTCAACTTAACATAGTATGACAAGTGTGGGACAGCTGTAATCTATTTCACACTTTATGCTGCTTGTGAACATTAACACAGAGTATCTATATAAATATATTAGTACTGTCTGTTGTGTATCATGTTACTACTTCTCAGGGTGGGTATGGATCTTCGCCAAAATTGGTATGGAGGTTAATTAGGACCATGTGGGGGTACATACACATTTTCAGTTTTTACA